AACGAGGGTCGGTAGTTCATGGGGGAGGGGCTTACCATGTGTGTGTGTATATATATAAGCACTAATCCGCTCTATCAATTCGAGGAGGCGCGTGAACTACTACGTCAAGCACTTGATCCAAGATCAAGAGGGCCTCTTCAATGCCAAGCAGATCTCGGTGATAATTAAGACCGGGGCCGCTTGATGAGAATTAGCGCCGGGTGCGTTTTGGTGAGAGCTGGGCAAAGAGCGAGTGTTGGCGGACGGTGCCACAACCCACCATCTCCCCGTCGTTTTGTCCATCAGCAGCTTCACAGTTCAGACACACTGGTAACAACTATCACAACCATCTATCTGACACATTGATAGCAATTGTCACCACTATTTGTTTGTTAAGCAATGCTAAGGACCCAAAGCTCATGCGTCACCCAGTGGTGAGCTTTGTTTTCAACATGCTCTGGTCACGCCTGGCCAGCGTTGAGTTCCTGAAGAGCAGGCCTTGCCAAAGCTGGGCTGTTTGTCTTGTGTCAGCGACTTAGTCAACAGATTGCCTTAGGGTTTGGCTTCTGCTGTAGAGGTCTTGATATTGACGATAGTCATAGCAAGAATGACGGTGATATCAACAATCATGTGAGGTTGCAGCATGTTACAGCCAAGTCTCAGTAGCTTGTCTATACGCATAGAAGGCTTTTGCCTATGGCGGTTGACAAGGTGTCCCTATGCTGAATCCGCACACGAAACGTATCCAGGCATGTCTTGGGTTCCCAACTTAGAGCGGCCGCATCACTCGAAGCACTCGCAGTGGATCCATCGGCTCCGCTGCAGGTGTCCAAGCAAGCACTTCCTTTTCGTTGAACCCTTAACACCCCCTGCAACCCCAGAAACCCTCTTTATCAGCCCTGCAGTAAGCCTGATAGCGATCTGGCTGACATCCACCGAAGCCCTGCCGATCCCTGCGGCAGTACGGAGTGTGGGAGGCGTGAATTCCTCGTTTGCTTGTATGGTAACCTTGAAGTACTGACAATATGGAGCTTGGTGCTAATCTAAAAAAAGCCCAGGCCCATACTCAGTGCTCTTACTATCGCCGAGAAGGTGAGGCTATGTCGAAAGTGCCACGAAGAGTCTGCATCTATCTTATCTCGACCACTTCCAAAACCTAGACCACTACACCACACTGCAAACTGTGCAGGGTCCTCTTCATGATCCAAGTGGTCATTTTCGTGCTCGCCCAGAGCATCCTGCCGCGCGTGGCGCCGAAGAGGGAGACGGAAGTACTTCGAATTCTGCTTTTCTCATGTCCGGGCCCTGGCTCTGCTCTGTGATGTACGGAGTCATGAGTTGTTAAGGCAAGCATCAACTAAGCGGACGCAGACAAGAACTCGCAAGGACAAGGCAAACTCCTCCAGTAGTTTGAGTGTTGTCCTACCCTGCCCGAATTGTCCGTTCAGGTGTCTGTAGTTTAATCTGTCGGAGCTTCAAGCCGAAACCCTACTTAAGTTGCTTAGTGCCACCATGTCAGTGCGTTGATTACTACTGCAGCATTGCTGATCCTGTTCTGAGGCCGCTGTTCGATCTACTTGTTTGACATGCTCTTGCTTCTCTGCGCCCACATCAAGTACATCGTCGCTGACATCAGAGAGCGCTCCTTCATTTTTGTGCTTGGCATACCTTGCCCGGCCTACCTGAAAGACCTCGCCTCTGCTGTACAGCTGGCCATGGTCATCGATCTAGTGCTGCTTGGCTTGTAATTACAGGTATCGCTCCAGAGTTGTAGAACATCGTAGAAGAAGAAACAGACAAACACAAGCACGCACGCACAATGCGCCCGAGCGTCGACCATCTTGCCACCTTGCCTGGTTGAAGTGCGAGCTTGAGATGGTCCGTCGAAGGGTGGCGATGGGGCCATTGAGGCCTGAGTGAGCCCATGGAAGGCTTTCAAGACTTACACCTCTGTGGGCAGCCTAACTTAGGAAAGTGTCTAAGACACTAAATTGGGAGCGGCCTCAGGAACCGAATCGTTTCAGCATCACAGATGCGGCATCTCAGCGTTTTGAACTCGGCAAACAGCCCGCAAAGAAGCGCACAGCTCTGACTGTATGGTCAGGGTTGTAATCGAGCTATGGTAAGGTCGCAGGGCTCGCGGGCTTTGACAAGCGTAACAGGTGGCAGCCGCAGAGGAACAGCTTGCAAACTAGGCAGCTTTGAGGTTACTTGTCCGCGAGCTGGACACAATAAGTCATCCGCACAACGTTTCATGATCAAACAAATCCCCGCTGGAGCTGGCATCGTGATATCCGGCAGTGCGTACCTATGAGGCAGATTGCATTCCGTCTTTGGACAGTCGAGGAGAGCTCCCAGCACAGTACGACACGTAGTCAAGACTCGAAACATGACTCGAAATCACGAACTTCAAGTCAAAATTCCGTCAAAATAGCAGCTGAGGTTCATGTGCGCGCAGGAGCCCATCTTTCATTGCTTGGCCAACATGTGCCTGGCCTAGGTCGCAAGAGAAGGTAAAACGGGTGGTAAAAGTCTTTCTGTCCCACAGGTGTCACGGCCCTGCGACGCAGGCACTGTGATGAGCCAAAGGTTGACGCAACAAAGTTTCGATCTAGATAACGTAGGATTGAGACATCCCACTCTTCCTACGCAGACCCTGGAACCCTCATCCGGAGCGCCCCTTCATCTTCAGTGTGAATCTCACATCAATGACACATGCTTTGTTCTTCCAATGCCGATAACATGGTGTCGGAGATTTGCTTCGCTTTGCAGCTCCAATCCGTCATGGTTGGTGGGGGCAGTAGTCGTCATGCTTCTGGGTGGCTCTGCGAAATCTCGGAACCCTCGAAACCAGGATTGCCCAATTTACAAGACTCCAAACCCGCCCAAAAGCCCTGAACCCCTTAGGGTTTCTCAAGGCCCCACAGTAGTCTTTGATAGGGTTTAGGGTGCCGTTGACCTGCACCGAGACATGGGCCTCACGAATGGTTGCATATTGGCCTGAAAGTCTCCCCGGAACTGGGATGTAATTACGCAGACTACCCAAACTGTCCCAGATGTAATGTAGTACTTAAGCACATCCTGGCCAACAGAATAGAAGTGCCACTAAGACACGAGACTAAAGAACATGATCATCACAACTGTCGGCGTGAGCTGTGCCTCATGCTTGCCATCATCGCATTACAAGATGTTATCCATCACTACGCTCTCCATCAATTCCACTGTGTGTGCAACCACAGCAAGAATTGCGATAACGGTTTGAAAAATGAGCTGGAACCCTAAGCAAAAAGTCCTAGACCCAAAGCCCTCAAAGCCGTGGGAGCCCCAGGCATGGAATCTACGAGGGCGCAGGTCTTTTCTCGACTCACTGTCCCGAGGCGCAGGGCCAAGCCACTGCAGCTATGGCTACTTCTTTGTTTTTGGGGGTCCGATACTAGGGGGAGTGGGGCCCGGTGACTCTTTTGAGTAAGTAGTAAAGACTACAGGTGTTTTTTTGCGCATGGGGAACAAGCAGTGCCTCGTATTGAAATTTGGTCTCCGTGTACTCGCAGTAGAGGTAGCAGTGGTAGCGGTAGTGGTGATTGCAGTGTTCGTCGTTGTGGTGGTTGTGGGTAGGAAGATTCGGAGAGTGATGCTAGTACCGGTGCTGAAGACTTGTGACTGGTACGACGGCTAAAGGAGTGGTGGACTTGATTGATGTCATGGCTGATGTTCAACTGCCAAGCAGGTCGGGGAGGTGCCAAATGCAGGTGCGAGGGATTAAGGGGTTTGGGGTTTAGGGCTGATTTAGGGAAGGCCATGCTGTTGAGGAGTGCGTGCTTGTAAACATCCAAGCCCATGCTGAAAAGGACGGGTTTGGGTTTAGGCTTGAAAGGTTTGCTAGCTTCAGCCTGTCCGGCATGCGGTTCCGTGATGTAACAGTGATGTAATGTGCACAACGCTTACCCCTCTCATCGCCCGCTCGGACTTGCTGCAATTTCAAACACCCTTTCCGTTTTCTGCAGCTTCGGCTTTGACCCCAAACGACATACTCTCAGATGAACTGGTAAGTGCCTGAAACAACGGAGCTGAAAGCACTCATTGCAAGCAAGGTATATTCGGTCTTCTCTCAGATCGGAGTGTTGCCGCTCAGAGTCAATGTCAAGAAGTAGTGCTGATGTTATGATGAGGGGTCCAGCGATTTGGGATTCAGACACAAGTGATACAAGGGTTGTCTAAACTAGAAGGTAGCAGAATTTGCTTAGGAAAGAAGGATTGGGATGTTTGTGATGATGGCGGATTCGGTTAGTAAAGTGGAGTTTTCTGGCACATCAACCGGCCAGTTTGGATAGGGCTTGATGGGCTTTGGGACAGGTTTCTGTGCCTTACAAACACATCGGCGAACTTCGGGGATTCATTGAACGAAGGCCCCCATGCCGCCCCAAGCCGGTAGAATTCCAACAAACGGGACCCACAAGAGGAACGTCAAAGTCGCATAACTTCAATGCGTGGTATAGGCTACTCCGCTAGCCAGGACACATCATTCGAGTCGCCGGGCACTCCACGACTCTGCAATCGGTCCTAGGGCCAAACCTTCGTCCTCAAGATGTATGCAATGTATGCCTCAGAGAATGAGGGCGATCCTATACAAGACCGACCCCCTAAGCAGCAGGAAATGTTTCCAAGAGCATATTTCTTCCCGGTTGGGGCATGACCACTCAATGCCAAGAACTGCACTGAGAATCTGCTCAGAATAACATGGCCGACTGACAAGTGTCTCCTCGACGGGACTGCCTTCCACAGGCTCCATTGGCTGCTTCTGGTCGACTGCTGTATTTTCTCTTTGCGTCTGAGCTCCTACTTCCTCACCTGCTTCTACGTCTTGGCTGAGCTGCTGTACTTCTTGAGTGCCCGGAGCTTTTATCAGAATCAGGGGTTGGGCTCACACGGCACCTTGAAGAAACACCTGCATTTTACGAGTATAGTGGTACTTTGCATGATTGCATGATTATATTATTCAATATGAATACAACTCAGAGGCCCGAAATAGTATAGTATTTTAGGCCCCGTATCTGCATTATCACTTCTATAGTGACACGTGTAGCTTGGGTGTGTGTATACGTGTATATATGTACTTATGTATGTATATATATATATATACATGTATATTGGCGTACTACACAAACACACCTAAACCTCAGACTCTGTGTGGTAGCTCTGATTGCACCCGACCTACTTTGTTAGTCCGTCTTTCAGGTTCTTTTATGTGGCTGTTTCGCTTCGTGAGTGTCGAACTGTCGTTGCATCGTGTGCAGCCTATCCGTCGTATCTCCTTCTGCTTGTTCACTCTATCAATCGATCCGTCTGTAAGCAGAACTGTAGTGCACCATGTGTTGGCAGTGCACGTGACAACAGTCCTTGGTATGTGCTATCGTCAGTCAGCGAGACCTTAGTCAAGCACCATCTACTCTAAACAGTGCCCTTGCTGTCTGCGTTCCGACTTAGACGCCTCGAGAGCTCACACTGGGCTATTCATTCGTGCTTGTCCTGTTCTTGTATTCCATGGCTCAGGTGCTGAAATCCCGAACACACCGGAGCTCACGTTTCAAGATTTAGCGTGCAGACATATGGGCACATATGTATATGCAGAGTTGTTCAGGTTTAGTTACAGATATTCAGCAAGCGCACGGGCTTGGAGCGACTTGGGATGAGGTCAACTCGGACTTGAAAGGTTTCAGGTCTCAGAGTCTGGTTCTTGATGCTTGACATGTGATTAAATGTGTGTCCGACGTGCACCAGCAGGGTTCTTTCGCAAGAGTGCCGCAAGCTCTGGGTAGTAGTCGTCATTGTCGTAGCAGAAGCAGGAGCAGTAGTAGTAGTAGTCGTCGTCGTAGTAGTCGTAGTAGTTGTAGTAGTAGAAGTAGTAGTAGTAGTAGTAGTAGTAGTAGTAGTAGTAGTAGTAGTAGTTAGTAGTAGTAGTAGAAGTAGCAGCAGTAGAAGTAGCAGCAGTGGCAGCAGAAGCAGAAGCAGAAGCAGAAGCAGAAGCAGAAGCAGAAGCAGAAGCAGAAGCAGAAGCAGAAGCAGAAGCAGAAGCAGAAGCAGAAGCAGGAGCAGAAGCAGAAGCAGAAGCAGAAGCAGAAGCAGAAGCAGAAGCAGAAGCAGAAGCAGAAGCAGAAGCAGAAGAAGAAGCAGAAGCAGAAGCAGAAGCAGTAGTAGTAGTAGTAGTAGTAGTAGTAGTAGTAGTGGTAGTAGTAGTAGTAGTGGTAGTAGTGGTAGTAGTGGTAGTAGTGGTAGTAACAGCAGTAGCAGTAGCAGTAGCGGGAGGAGGAGGAGGAGTCGTAGTAGTTGTTGTTTCAGTAGTAGCAGCCGAAGTCGTCGTGGTAGTGGCTGCAACCGTAGCTGGGGCGGTAGCAGCAGCGACAGCAACAGCAGTCGTCATAGGAGTATCAGTAGGAGTAGGAGTAGTTGCAGCAGTGACTGCGAGAGCAGTAACACTAGCAGTAGCAGCTGGCAGCAGTAGTAGGAGGAGGAGTTGTAGTAGTCGTCGTCCTCGTCCTCGTCCTCGTCGCAGTCGTGGCAGTCGTTGGGGTCAGGGTGGTGGTCGTAGAATTAGTAGTAGTTGTAGCTGTAGTGGTCAGTAGCAGTAACAGCAGCAGTCGCAGAAGGAGCAGCAGTAGTGATGGCAGTCGTGGTTGTAGTCGCGTTGCATTGTCGTCGTTGTCGTTGCGGTTTTGTTTGCTGTTGCTGTTGCTGTTATTCTGCTTGTTGCAGGCGGAGTAGCAGCAAGAAGCATCAGCAGGAAAACTTGTAGCAATACTGGTGGCAGCAATAACAGTAATAGTTTTGATTGCACAGCTATTGTGTGGCATTCTCCAAAGCCTCCGAAAATTCATGGAGCCTGCCGTTGGGGGGTTAAGGCTTTAGTGACCTTACGCTGCCCAGGTGCCATTTTGTTCTTGGTGCTGATGTTCGCTTGCTCCATTGCTGCGCTGGACACACTGCAAGGCGACTTCAGAAGCATTCCGGCAGGACTGGCTGCACGAAGTCTGAAGGCCGCTTTCAAAGCCGGAGCCCGCATCCGGTGAATCAGCCGGAAACCGACTTGACTGAATGATTGGCTTGCACAGCAAACACATGGCCACCTATCGAACCCTGGCTTTTCGGAGTTCCTTCCACCGCAGATGCGTAGCGGACCTAAGTCTGATACAACCAGCATCAGGTAAGGATGGCAAGTGGCTTCTTTTCTTTTTCTCAGAGTCAACTTGTTCGGTTGCGGGTATTTTTCTACAGGGGCCCGAGGTCCCAGTACAGAACACCGGTCGCTTGTTCCAGGAGTTCGCACGTTGACGAAGATAACGCTGGGCATGTACCCATCCGAAAAAATCGAAACTTGCCCGCAAGTGTGGCGAAAATGGAGTGAAGCCTCCAAGGATGTTCGTGGGTTTTCCTTTCGGAGGTCTACCTGGGGTGGCTATAGGGAGCGGCCTCGAGATTCGCCAAGCCCGAGCCCCCTACCGATTGACAATGTACAAGCAGGAAACCAGAGTCAAACAGAATCTGTACAATTTGATGGGATGACCGAACCTGTTAACCTTCAATGCAGTTCCTGCATGTCCGCAGCTTATCACTGCAAATAGGCAGAGGCACAATGTCTACATAGTCTACATATATACATTTACACGTGCATACCTGCGAGCGTACGTGCGTACATACATAGATACATGCCACCTTCCCTTCTAGGTTATCTGTGTCCGTACCGAAGCATACACACCACTCCGAAACAGGCTTCGAGACGTTACAATTTGCAATTGAAGTTTCGTGCCGCGGACACTGCGCACCACACCACGTATGTCTGTAGCCAGTCTGTAGCCCTAGCACATATATAAGAATATATAAATGTAGGTAGAGGGTAGAGGGATGTAGAGGGTGTTTTTCTTCAGATTGTGCACTGCTTCGGGGCATGCCAGTATGCTAGCTTTTTGTTATGTCATATTTTGTTTGACCATCCTGAGTTGCACAGCACACTTCCTAGTACTGCCATCGCAAGGCCGTTTGTCCAGTGATTGTAGTCCGCAACATTCCATGCCCTGTCGGAAGTCGTGACATCTTGTCATGTGTCGGAATCAGTGTCCTTAGAAGATGATCGGCGACATCTGTATAGTGTAACGAACTGCAACTGCATCTTGGGCACAGCAACAAGTGATCCACTGTGCTTCTGGCCAGTTAAGCCGCTTCAACAGTTTCTTTTCACGCAACGGTTTGCACCGTATACTGCGCACCTATCTGCTATGTGCTGGTATACGAGATGCACGATATTGTGCCATTTTCTACAAAACATTTGCACAGCATGAACCCCAAAGGCCCGAACATCACAAGATCCCGACAGGTTTTTAAATCCTGGCTCCCAAAACGCTAGGAGCCCAAAGCCCTGAACCCCAACACACCATAACTGGGCCGAGGTCCAGCTCCACGGTTCCCCTCGAATCTTGGCGCTGCTGATCGTGCACCCCGGCGTGGGAACTTGTATCCGGTTGAAGCGCCGTGGGTTTTTTTGGGGTGACTTCTGGTATAGAAACCACGCTTAAGGCTCGATTTTCGAGCCGGGTTTCATACCTATTTGTATGTATGTATGTATATAATCCCTTCCCCCTAATATTAA